AGTACATCAGAGRTCTTGGAGTGAAAGTAAGAACAGAATCTTGTCGCGAGTTGGTGACAATCAGAATGCTTGGGTAGGATTGGATTATTCTTCACTGTAAACAATCGATCGACTAGGGTGAATAATTCAAAAAATGACTAGTTTTTGGGTTGTTGCTCGATTTTGCCTCGCTTTGGTGCAAAACCAATGCAGGCTACTCGCACAGCTTGTTTCCTAACCGCAAAAAGGGTTATTAATTAAGGCGTTTTGAAATTGGGCACGCGGYGGGTTTGAATTAAAGCTTTTAGACAGTACAGGGAGGTAGTAGGTTTAAGATTTATAGACAAGGGGGGAGATATATATGGGAGAAACTAAATATGATCTGACATGGCCAGAAATTCCGGACATTTGAGCCCGGGACGAGTCAGCGGGTTTTCCCACCAAAATAGAGCTTTCTACAAGTTCCCTTGTGGCGAATTTTCACCATGAGAAACAAGGCCAAAGGGAGACGACGAAAGGAAAATAAATTGTCAAAAAGGACGCTGTTAACAATATTGGATTTTCTACACAGTRCTTCGTCTACGTTTGTATATGTTTTATTTTCCGAGCTTTCGGATCGTTCGATCCATCATCAGGGACTAGTATGATGGATCGAACGATCCGAAMGCTCGGAAAATAAAACATATACAAACGTAGACGAAGCAGTGTTTAGAATATGACTCCTACGTACAGAAAAATATTAAATATTGGATTTWTTTGGATTTCCTACAGTGGAATCAAGAATAGTTTCCCTCTACGAATTCATCTATGGAATCTTTCCAGTTAAAACAGATGAAATGTTATTCTCAAATATTTTTTTTGATGCATACATTTCTTTGTAAAATTTACAAACATGTTTTTATGCATTTATGCGAAGTACCGCTGCGATTGCGGGCTGAAATGTCCGGATTTTCTGGCCATGGAGTTCTTACTTGTTACCCGTAGTGTACTAGTATGTCCCGTGAATTCATTTAATTTATTAATTTATTCCTCGTTAATAAAGAGTTGTCGCGTCGTGCGTCTCTTCTCTTGAGAAGTTTTCGAATCTGACACCGTTGTTTTTTTCCAATTAGTTCTRGTCAATTTTAGACGTTGCCCCCCTCTTTAAGCACATACAATTAGATTTGCCCTCCTCGGGATTCTCAACCCCCCTTCCCCCTCCTGATAAATATTGCGCAGTCCCGCATGTTAATCTCGTCGAGCCAATGCATCGTGTATGGCTGAAAACGTCTTTTAAGACGCTTAAAAACGCATTGAAACACGAAGATTTTCTACCGTCTACCGTCTCAGCTCCTAATAATTTACGGTAGCAAGTGCATTTGGTTTCCCTTGTGTTCCCTTCCTCCCCAAGAGATCACCACGCGACATTTTATCGACTTCGATTCATCCCGCGCATGTTACATATTATTTTTCCTTTTTTATTACTATCAATTATTGTATTTATATTATTTTTCTTAATTTTTCCCCTCCCCCCAGGGACCATGAATGCAAATGTGCAATTTAATAACACTATTCTTCGTTTGCAATCACGTGACTTTTKGCCTACCAAATCTCTTCCGGTTTCCAAGTGACGGGCAAACGATTATAAACAAACATGGCCGAGAACGCGCACGTGAGTGACCTTGATACTTCAATGCAAGAAAACACTCTTTCCGAGTACACTTAACTCTAGACCCAAAGACAAAACGTAGATACGTCGACAAAATATCTCTTTGCGATGGAATCGATCCTTATATGATGAAATCGAAAGAGTTTTCACAAGATTAAGTCTAAGAGAGCACTGGCGGCTTCGGAATGGCGACGCTTCAATTCCCTGTTTGTTGATCTCTCTGTACGTTTCACATCGTTCTCTTTGAGTTGTTTCACCTTTTGATGTCCCAGTTTTAATGTAGGTGCCCAGTCTATGTTATTGTCATCATATAAATTGCTTGGACATACTCAAGACATACAAATCTATAATGGAAACACTCCTACATGACAAGCTAAAGTTTTAGGTGTTTAATACCGTTAACCGCAAATGTTTCAACAAGCTTAAATCTACACAAACGAAAGATATAATACATACTGTTTACAAAGTGATCGCTGCATACACGGGCGTTCGGAGATTCAATTCCTTTCGAACAGAGCGATATGTTGGCCAGCCATTTTTCATGTCGTCTCCTCGAAATATTTTTGGTGCGATCACCCTTGTGGACGACTTCTTTTGGTATTCTGAAGAACCTCTTATCTTTCTGTTTGTTTGATCGATTTCTACAACCATAAATTGAACAGCAATCGGGCATATTTTTGAAATTTAGCGCTAAAAACCTCTCTGACCTATTCGCAAACACAGACAATCTCTCGTGGCGTCAGCTGAATTTTGCCCGTCAGCTGGAAATATGCATTTTTAATTAACCGGAAGTGACGTATATTGCAAACTAAGAATACAATCAAGTCATACTAAAAGAATTGATGGTTTGAAGAGCTGACACTATTTGAACTTAAACATGTCATTTGTTATTCATTATCGGCATTTTTGACACATAATACTTATTTACACAAAATTTAGTTTTGTACCCACCCCCTCAGGGGAAGTCGAAATCCAAGATGGCGGACGTAGTAGTTTAACCCTATTCAATAACTTTCGAACCAAGACAGCTACAGCTCTGAAACTTTCGGACTTTTCCTATAATTTATCTGGGAAGATTTTGATGTAAATTTTTTCTTGATAACGTCATCCATGTCGCCATGGCAACCAGTTTTTAACACATAGGTTTTCAAAAATGTAAAATATGCTTAATTTTTCATTTTTAAAGCTTATTTCTTTTTTTATTATGCATCTTTTACCTATTGGAGATTGCTCCCATTGCTGACTGTACAATACTATAATACTTTTTCGACAAGAAAAACTTTGGGGGGAGGGGTGAGTAGTTTTCAGTCATTTTTTTCACATG